AAGTGTTCTCATTGTTTTTACTGTAATTTATGTACTGTTTTATGTAAGCCGCCCTGAGCTGGCCTCGGCTGGGAGAGCAGGACAGAAATCTAACAAATAAATAAATAAATATAGGCATTTTGATTTTAAAGTGTAAAATTAGTGTTTTAGGGGATTTCCCTCCTCATTTCCCCCCATTTTTCAGAAGGAGCACACACGATAGAGACACAGTTTTAAAAAATATCTCAAAATCTGCTTGTGTAAATAATACTGTGTAGAGAATGTGCATTGATAATTTAAATGATCCACAGCTGGGGCTTGTTTCAGTGTCTCATCCAGCCCTCTACATCAGTACAGAAAGATCCAGGAAGTAGTGATAAAATGCTGCTGCAATACGTGGAGAGATAGGTAGAAGTAACATCTTCACACCATAGCAACAGAACAAGTCAGTAACTAGGGGTGGAGCAACAACAACCATGGAACACTGCAAAACCAGCCATGGTCACCTGTATTGCAGTAATTCAGCACACATTTAAGAAATGAGTCAACTTTCCCACGTTTCCCATGTGGTAAACTGGTTGTCCGTATTCACCTGCTGACATCAATGGAAGCCACGGGGCATCCAGCAAGTGTGCACTTTGAGAGTTTGTGTGTATCTTCAGATTTCTTTCCTTCTCATATGGTCTGGAGAAGTACCATCGATTTCAGTTGCCAAGCATTTGTGCATCATGGTTTCAGTGATCTAAAAAACCCCAACTCATTGGAGTACCATTGGCTAGCACATGCCTTAATGTTAGAGAATAAGCCTGATATTTGCTTTATGGACTATTTATTGCTACACACAATGGACTGTGCATACACACATAGGCTCAGAAAGCTGTACACTTTAGGTCACCTGTTGTGATGCCACACATAGAGGGTGCCTGCACATACCTTACATGTAAATAAGGTTTCAGCTACACAGTTACCCAGCCTGGTGAAGAAGCACAAACCTCCATTATTGTGAGCAATGAAACAACAACTCTAGGAGGAAACAGCCCCCATGACGGAGCTCCTTGTAGTCACGTACTACCCATCACTTGCTTTGTTCCTGAGATGGAATTTCCTGCCATATGGACATTTGGTTACCAATGGAATGGCCAGCTTCATCAGCACTACAATGGAGCATCCTGACGCCTAGGTTTCACACCTGTCCAGATGCCATACTCGGAGTAAGGTTTTAGGTTACAATATTGGCCACCCCTCTTAGGTAACCTCCCCTTCCCACATGCAACCAATAGGATTGTTTTTGGGACGGACTAACAGGTAGGTGGGTCAAGAGGTTGGCAGTTACCACCCATCTCTTGGACCCCCTATAAAAGGAGAGAACCAGTCACCTGGCCCCTCCTACTTGATCAACCCGCAACAACCCCTGTCTGCTTTTACTCCCCTTGAGTCCCACTTGCTATCCCCAACCCTTGCCTCTACTTTGATCTCTTGATCTGCAGTCAAGAGACCCACACGTTCTGGCTGGTTCTGGTCGTGTGTGAATTCCTTTGTTTTCCATTTCTTCCCATCCATTCTTCATTGGAACAACCAAAGCTGCAAGACAGATAAGTATCGCCCACCATCACCCCTACCTGCTAATGCAACCATGCTTATTTCCAACTGTAATTATTAGGAACTTGATTGAATGTGTGAGTGCATCAGTATTGTTTGTATGAGATATATTTTTAAGCAAAAGACATCTATTTTAACCACAACAGCCTCGAATCCTTTACTGGTAACCCTTGGTGGGAACAGGACCTTGGTATAAACTGGCAAGAACCCATTTATAAATTGCCAATTGCTGTAAATAAAGCAATTCAGCTAACATTAAAGGTGGCTGTATCATAGAAACAAGAGCTGAAATAGGATAGGGCTAAAAATGTGGCCCCAAAAGACACCTCCCCTGCCCTAAACTACCAAGAGCCACCATAAAACATGAATAACATAAGAATCTGCCTTATACTGAATCAGACCACTGGTCCATCAAGGTCAGTAGTATCTATTCAGACTGGCAGTAGCTCTCCAGGGTCTCAGGCAGAGGTCTGTTGTCTCCTGGACCAAGATGCCTTCTAGGCCTTTCTCATACCATCCAGATCCAACCACCATATAAACCCAATCACATGACTGGCCCAGCTTCACAAGCAGACTCCAGGGTGACCTGAATTTTCTACCCCTGTTCCTTCCTCTTGGCGGTCCTATCTAATTCAAAGGCAGGCAGAGAGATTTATAGAGGAAAGGTTCATCACTGGCTACTAGCCACAGAGAGCAAAGGTAGTTAATCTCTGAACAGGAGTGTTAGGTGGCAGCATCAGGAAAGGCTAGGCCTCTATGCCCATTTGTTGGCCCTCCAGAGCAACTAGTTGGCTGCTGTGTAAAACAGGGGCCCTTTCTGCACTCTCCTTTTAATCCATGTTCACTGTGGTGTTCTCCAAGAAATTCTGCACTAAAATCGAATTCAACCTTCTTTTTACTCGAGGTTTCCACCCCCCATTCTGCACTAAAATCAATATCAACCTTCTTTTTATTCTGTGTTTTCCTCTCATTCTGCATTATCTTACCTCCCTTCAGTTTCAGCCTGCTGTTGCGCAGGGTTATTTGGATGCTGTTTTGCCGTGGACTTTAATTGCCTCGACTCAAACACTGAGAAAATCCTGAGTGTCAAGCAAATGCAGAAAGGACCAGGAATATGTTGGACTGATCACTGATCTGATCCAGAAAGGTTCTGGTGTAGTGGTTAAAAGCCGTAGACTCTAATCTGGAAAGCTGGGTTTGATTCTCCACTCCTCCACATGAAGCCTGCTGGGTGACCTTGGGTCAGTCACAGATCTCTCAGAACTCTCTCAGCCCCACCTGCCTCACAAGGTGCCTGCTGTGGGGAGAGAAAGGGAAGGAGACTGTAAACTGCTTTGAGACTCCTTAAGGTAGGGAAAGGTAAAAAAGGTAAAGGTTCCCTTGCTCGAAAGCCAGTTGAGTCCTTCTCTAGGGTTGCGGTGCTCATCTCTGTTTCAAAGCCGAAGAGCCAGCGCTGTCCGAAGACGTTTCTGTGGTCATGTGGCCAGCATGACTAGACGCCGAGGCGCACGGAACGCTGTTACCTTCCCACCAAAGTGGTACCTGTTTATCTATTTGCAATTTCTTGCTTTCGAACTGCTAGGTTGGCAGGAGCTGGGGCCAGAGACGGGAGCTCACTCCGTCATGCGGCAACTCTGGTCTCGAACTGCTGAACTACTGACCTTCCACAGCCTGCAGTTCAGCGTCTTAACCACTTGAGCCACCGCAGCTCCAAGGTAGGGGAAAGCAGGGTATAAAAACCACCTCTTCTTCTTACGTTCACCTGGAATTTATACTCTCTGACACTTCCAAATATGAGTGGTCTGCTCAAGCACAGGGTGGAAAAGACAATTTGTTCATGACATATTTCCTTATTTTCTCATTTATTATTCCTGGACATTGTCCAGGATTTCTGGACATTTAAGTCTTTGTGACCCTTATTTGCAACTAACTAAATTCACAAATCCCATTTGCACCTGACAGTTTGCCAACTGGTCAGACTTGTTACTGGTCCAGTCAGGAAGGACATTTGTTTGTGCACACTGCTATGTACAGGTTCAGAGAGCCTGAACAGGGGCCGGGCTGTGGCTGAGGGGTAGAGCACCTGCTTTGCATGCACAAGGTCCAAGGTCCAGTTCCCGGCACCTCCTTTAAAATGACCGGGCAGTACGTGACACCGAAGGACCTCTGCCTGGGACTCTGCAGAGCTGTTGCCACAGTCCTAGGAAACACTGACCTTGACCGTTGCATCCGTTTCAGTATGAGGCAGTTTCATAAGTTCATACCGTATATACATCACTCCGAAGCTGTTCCCTTCCCTGTCACAGGGGAGAGACACTCTGCACAAGTTCAGAGGCCGTCTGCTTTTAGCAAAGCACGCCCTCCAAGCAGAAACGGGAAAGCCATGCTCAGCAGCAGCAATCCAGAGAGATCACGAGAGCGGGTCTTGGGGGCTGCAGTCCTAGAGCCACTTACTCGGGAGTAAGCCTAGCGGAACTCCGCGGGGCTGACTTCCGACGGCACGGGCCGAGAGAGGGGCTGGGGGGGGGGGATGCCA